AGCACCATCCTTACCAACTCCCAAAACTGCTCTCGGATATAAGTGGGCTTAGACATGTCTGGGGCGTAGACCCCTAAAACAAACAACTTCTTTAAGCCCACTTTCATTCGTATCCATAGCAGTCTCGGGCTTACACATTCATACTCTTTTACACAATGACCCATTCTTTCTGAAAGGATGATACCGACTCCCTGGCATGCCCGCTCGGTCTCGTCTACACCAGACCAGTACGCGGTATACATGCCATGTGTAGTGGCATCCTTTCCCTTCCGTTTCGTCTCATTCACACATAACACGTCTATTCCTCTATCATACATCATGTCGCATACTTCATCCATTTTATCATTCATTCCTCCACATACATTCAATGTAGCCAGACGGGCTTCCGCAATCCACTTTTCGCCCCTCCGGGGGACAGAACGTGACGGGTGGCGAACCTCGTCGCCGGTTTTCCTCCCGGAGATTCTTCGCACCTTCGCATGAAATAATACAGAATTTAATTAACTGGTTAATATTAAAAAATGTGGTATTACCTACTCTATTACTTATATATGTTTGTGGGTAAAATACAGTCTATATCCTATCCAAATATAACAGAATTATGAAAATTTTCTGTCACAATACATTTAGAATAGAGCAATCTTATTTCTAACCGATTCATTCAACTGATTCCTACAAGTTTCCTTACTTAAATTATTAAGTTTACTTTCATATTTAAGTCGGATGTTAAAATAAACTTCTATATTGTATTTAATTTTTAATTATAAAATGTTTGTAATTATTATAGTAATATTATTTATATGAAGAATAAAGCAGCCATTATGTACTCCTTGTCCCTGTTTTTTATTTCATCTACAAAATATTTTATAAAATATAAATAGGTATATACTTAATTAAATATGTACTTATTTATATTTGATTAACATTATATTTAAAAAGAAATTCTGGAGAAGCTGTCCATGGTAGTAAATATTTTTCTCCAAAGTTTATGACTTAGCGTCGAAAACATAAATTTCCGATCTGATTCTTGGGAAAAAAAAATTCAGTTTATCGATAGACTCACCTCTACAAAGATTATTGAATTTTGTACATTTTCCCTTAAGATCCAACAAAAGGCAATTAGGGGCGCTAAAAGAATATCCACTACACCTATATCGTCCTACGGGTGTCGTTAGAGGCGACACAGGGAAATTGAAACAAGTGATTGGCATCACAATCTTTCTGATAACAACTCAAAATAAGAAAAAAACTGTGGTTGACAACACGCTCGCCAAGCGCATCGTGTTGTATAATCTCAAGATAAGATCTGATTAGGCGTCTTGAGATACTGTCGCCAATTGTCTGCTGACTCAAGTTGCCACCAAAAATCTCCCAAAAACTACGCAAAGCGTGAAGCAGTGTAACAAAGGATTATTAATTATCACTTGATACTTAGATAATATCATTTATATTATAAAATGAAGACATGGCTTATAGATCAAGCATCCAAGACAAAAATCTTAATAAAAAAGTCACTAACACAGATAACAGATTAATAATGAGTTAATGAGCACAAACTAGCGAACTAGCTTCCTACCACAGAATACTTTTACTCCTAACGGAGACTTCCTACATACTTATTTATCTATGGCACAAACTAATAAAAAGTGGATTGGTCTAGATACCAGGCCATAAATCTCCGCTAGGAGTAAAAGTATTCTGTTTCTATATAGTTTGTGCCATAAACTCCAAAAAACAAAAGTGGTCACTATCAGCTTCCTTACCTATATATTACTATACTCTTTGACTATCAGTGTCAATTAGTCTTGGGCATAGTCGGTCACCGTTGGGAGCGCTCAATTTAGTTCGTTGTCCTATAGCGAACTAGTTCGCTCATTTAGTTCGTTAGTTCTTTTTTAATTTTTCAGTACATCTAATAAAAAAGGATGAGTTTATTGAATGTCAGTAAATAAAAATTAATTGAATTTACTTTAAAAAAATATTAATAGTTTAATTAGTATGTAATATACTACATAATATATATATGCAAGATACTTATCAAGAACTATTTGATGATATGGAAATTAAAATAAAATATGATAAACGATACTAAATATGCTTTTATATTTTTGAAGTGTATTGAATTAATGAAAATAACACAACTGCAATTTATAATATAACGAATTCCTCGGTTTAACGAATTTTTCGAAATCCTCTAGAACTGCCTGTAAGAGCTAATGCAAAATATAATTCTACATTACGACGTTACTATTTTAACTTTTTACGATTAATTTACGATTTAATCAAACACATCCTTATAACGAATTTTAATCATTGCAGAATATATGTACACACACACACACACACACACACACATATATATATATATATATATATACATATACATATATATATATATATATATATATATATATATATATATATATATATATATATATATATATATATATATATATATTTAACCAATTTTTTTAACTTGAAGTCTTGACATAACATATCCTAATAATTATTCCCACTTAATTCCGCAATAAATCATGTCATGACAGGTTCAGACACGTACATGACAGGCAGATGACTATTTACGTAATAGTGAAATTAATAAACAAGTTTTCTTACCTCGTTAAAACGAATTGTAAATCCACCTAACCTCTATATAACAAACCTCATTATAACTAATTACTTGGTAATATAACGAATACTTTCTAATTCCATTCAGTTTCATTATATTTAGGTTTCATTTTGAGTTTTACTTCGAATAAACTTGTTGTCGAATAAACTACACATATTTTAATTTGAATAAACTTACCGTAAAATCGAATTGAGAACTATACGGTATTTATGTACTGTTTACTATCACTTTCATATTAATATTGTGAGCCAGCAATATTTGTTATTTGTTCTGAATTGTGCACTAATAAAACTTTTATTAGAGACTCTAAATTATATACTTTAAACTCTGGTGAGAACGGTAACAGTAAAAATAAATCAGTCAGTTAGCCATGCAGCGCTACTCCATAATAGAGCGGACGCCAGAAAAATAAATATTTAAAGAACTAAGAGCGAGATTGTCGACGAACTAGTTCGCATAGTTCACCTAAAAGAGCGCTCTTCCCACCTAGGTCGTTCGCGAACTACCCAAGACTAGTGTCAATGGTGTCACGGTTTCTCTTTCTTATTCTTACTAAGAATTTCTTACAGTGTTTCGTAGTATATGAACGAAATTTAAAAATTAAGTAAATGCTTTAAAACTCATCGCAATGGGATCTCGACAAATAACAGAAAAATCATTGTCGATGATAAGATCGCTGCCGAGGATATCCCTTGGTAATATTCGTGACAATCCAGGCTCCAAAATAACCGTAAGTTAGGTTTTTAAGATTTCTTGATCAAGTCAAGATTTATATTTGACGGTTGTGCGCCCTATCTGCCATAGATAGGAATGTCCTATCGTGACCGATTTCTTTCTAAGCAGCAGTTGGCACTACTATATTTAAATGGGCCTACATTGAAAGGAAATTTTAACAGGGTGCTAGCTTTTCCGTATGCATCTTCCTAACACCAAACTGCTGCTTGCTACTATGCAGTCAGTATAATTTCAAGTCATTCCATTCACCTTTGTCGTCCGGGGTGATTATGCATCTGTGGCTTTATTTCTTTAGTTAGTAGCAAGTGTTCATGGGCTGTAGTAGCCAGTTATCATGAGGTTGACTGCTAGCTCCATTCCACTTTATTAGAAAGAACAATAATTTTCTAATGACAAATTTATCTTTATTAAAATGAGGATGACATAACAAAGAAGATCAGCTAGTAAAATCAACAATCCAACAAGATGTGACTTGAATTAAGAAAGGAATGCTTCAATTGTGTGGAAAATTTATTTTAGAAAAATTAAAAGAATTCCAAGCAAATTTATGATGTAGAAGACAGAGGCAGAGTTGGCAAGGTATGCCTTAATTGGAAGTTAATTGATCAAATTGGTGATATATTGAAGATGGACCAAATTAAAAGTATCCTTGACACATTCGCCACCCTCACAAATTTTGAATGTAACACATGGATACCGCCTATATTTTCTATGGACTCTCTTGGCGGGTACAGTGGCATTGTGTACAGACGAACCCAATAAATTAGTAGTTTAAGCTCTAGCTTTGTTTTAGGGGTTTGTTCTTAACTCGCTCTAGTTTATAAGTATATTTGAAGATAGTATTGTTTTTGAGTGTAATCATGAATAAAATCAAATAAAAGGTAAGGTAATAATGTAATTTAATCAGAAATCTCCAACTTTTTGTGAATTATTAGTCATATATGATTAGACCTAAAAAGTGAATATTTTATTAATTTAATTTTTATTGTCCAAGAACACACAATACATACATACAATTTACGTAGGTAACATCATAAAGGTTATAACCAGCAGAATATCATCTGCTGGTTATAGCCTTTATATTGTCATTTCTTCTTTATAAGTCTTTATATGTATTAGGTTAAGTAGATAGTTAGGTCAGCTTACCCCAATCAGGGAACAAAGGAACATAAATACATACAATACACTCATATGTATACATACTGGTCAAAATCATAACTCCATTGCCTCTCATGGATGTGCTATCAAGCAAAACTAGGGCTCGGAAAAACAATTTCTAAAATGCCATTTTTCATAAATATAAATGTTACCTAATTTGTCATAATATATTACATCAATTTTTCAAAAATTTGAAATGTTTCAAAAAACTATTGATGACCCTTGAATATTTGATCAATGAACCCTCCTCCTTGGCATTGTATAAGAACATTTTTTCTGCTGACTTCCAAAAAGGAGACGGTACTCAATTCGACTGTATTTTTTTTTTATGTGTGTTACCTCATAACTTTTTCTGGGTGAAACGATTTCGGTCGTTCTTTTTTTATATAAAAGCTGATACATCTCATGTGGTCCCAAATGAATTTGATCGAGGTCAGACCAATAGTTTTTGAGTTATTCTTAATAACTTTTTTTTAATAGGATAAGGGCGACAAACAAGCACACATTCCACCTGATGGTAAGTGGTTGCTGTGGCCCATAGACATCTACATTTATCCTCGATTATGAATATCAAAATGTAGATGTGTTGTCACCCGTGAGGACTAAGATGGAATGCCTCGTTTCCAGTAAAAAGGGTCTCCGGTTCTCTACACTCACCATACGAAACACAGCAGCATTAAGCTGATATTTTACGCTGGTATTCTGTGAGTGTGGTCCTTCCCCGGTCGAGCCGACCCATTAGTGTTACAACTATACCAAAAATATAACTGCAGCATGGCTATATAAAGCGTATATAAAGAATTTTTATACGTGGTAGAGCCATAGAGCTACATATCTAACTTATATTGAAGTTGGCTGTACAAAATTTTTAATTTTAAATTATTTTAACAAATTGTGTAATCTTGATAATTTCTGATTCCACCACAAAAATATTGTTAGTTTATGGTGCTAAAATACCCCTAGCGAAGTTTTATAACAAAGTATCGCATATTTTAGAAAATAATGCAAAAAAAATGTAGGATTCGCCAGGTGTGTCACAGCCATCTAACAAACATTTTTAGAGAACTTACAAGGTATTCAATGTGTTAACTGATGGTGTTTGCATTGCTAAATAGATGTAAAAAAAACAAGTGTTGGGTAAGGATTGTGCCAAATGGAACTCTTATAGTTTCTGCTTACCTCTCAAGGTGATTGATGGGCAATAGAGCTTATGTATGTATGCAATCAACAATTGATAGGGAAGAAAGGTTCTTAAGAAGTGGCAGGCTAGTAATGGTAAGTGCAGTGTTCGGCGACCCACAACTAGTTTAAGTGACCTGTTTGTGGGTACATGCAGGGCTTCGACATATGCAGGTGGCTCAGGATAGTGCATTGTGGGATTCAATTGGGTAGGCCTACGTTATGGTATGGTAGTAATGTAATATATGAAAGTGATGTCATTCACCTTGAATGAATTTTTATATGTGGTAGAGCCATGCTGCAGCTATATTATGGTTGTAGCACGAATGGGTCGGCTCGACCGGGGAAGGAACATGCTCTCACAGAAAACCAGCGTAAAATAGCAGCTTAACGCTGCTGTGTTTCGTATGGTGAGTGTAGAGAACCGGAGACCCTTTTTACTGGCAGAGGCATTCCATCTTAGTCCTCATGGGTCACAGTAACCACTTACCATCAGGTGGACTGTGTGCTCGTTTGTCACCCGATCCTATAAAAAAAAAGATCTTAACCTGATAATTATTAACACCCTTTCTTATAATTATTAATACTTGTTTATCATTACATATTGTGTTTCTATTATCATTTATTGAAAAAACAGAGCGAGTGAGCTATGAAAAGGGTTATGCTCGATGTTTTACTGTGTAATAAATTTGGAAATAAATATATCCGCAGTAGAACCAAAGTAACCAGAATAGCCAAACAGATTAGTAAACTGAAGTGACAATGGGCTGGCCATATAGCTTGAGGAAGTTACAACCAATGGGGAAGATAGGCTCTTGAGTGGCATCCTCGCACCAGTAGGTTAAGGTTAGGGCAGCTCCCCACTATATGGAGTGACAACCTGGTAACACATGCTGGAAATCAATGCATGCAGGTGGCTTAGGAACATGCCTTCTGGTATCCCTTGAGGGAGGCATATGTTCAGCAGTGGACTTGTGAAGGGCTGTAATGATGATGAGAGTGAGGGCAACTTTAAGCATTTTTTAAATTAATCTCGATTTCATGAATTAGATTGTTAATGGCTAACAACAACTCCCCTTAGATGCTTAGGTTTACTTAAATTATAAAACATATAGTATTTGAGTATTGTACAATGTAATGTAATATAGCAACCATTTAATTATCACATTGAATAATTCTAAAGAATACACACAACACACTGTACAGACAAGTAATTAAATCACATATTAATTACAGCAAAAACGTGGACGTGGTCAACATGGAGGTGACAAACATGGTGCTGGTAATAAGGGTTCAGGTCAACGGCAGAATTATATGAGACTGGGTTACGAAACTGGAAACAACCCCTTTTATCTTAGAATTCCTCATGAACCTTACTACAAAGGACATCAGTAAGTTCAGTGATGGTCTCGATATTTATTTCTTAAAAATGTTATTCTAATTGACCTACTTTTGTTTTTCTTTTAGTCACAGAAGACAATATCCACCTTTGTCACTATTGGAACTACAAAGCTTAATTGACAAAGATCGATTGGATGTTACAAAACCAATTGATATTGCTAGCATTATTAAATCAGGGTTATACAACATGTTTCCCGATCAAAAACAGTTTGGTATACATTTAACAGATGAGGGGCTTGATATATTTACGGCAAAAATAAATATTGAAGTACAGTGGGCAAGTGAACAGGTGATTGCTGCCATTGAAAAAAACGGTGGAGTAATTACAACTGCTTATTATGATCCCCACAGCTTATTTCTTTTAAAGAATCCTAAAAAGTTCTTTGAAAGTGGACAAGCTATTCCTAGGAGAATGATTCCTCCGCCTGATGTTATTGAATATTATACTAATCCTAAAACTAGAGGTTATTTAGCTGATCCAGAAAAGATATCACATGAGAGATTAAAATTAGCACAAAAATATGGTTATAAATTACCAGATTTAGAAAATGACGCATGTTATAATATGTTGATAGAAAGGAAAGATCCTAGACAAATTTTTTTTGGATTGGAACCTGGATGGGTCATTAATTTAAAAGATAAATGTATCTTGAAGCCTAGAGATGAAGAATTACTTAGATTTTATTCTTCTTAGTATGAACAATTATTGTATTAAGGTAATTTTGTAAATGTAATAAATAAAATATTTAAAGCAATATCAAACCTTTTATTGAAATTATTGCAATACATACAAATATTGTTTACATATAGTGAAAAATGCATAATGAATTAAATTTTTTTATTGGCTGGTCACCCAACATTTTATTGAATTTTGAATTGTGCAGAGCAATTCCAAAATTTGGAAATGGTACATTGATACTTTCTTCTTAAATTTAATATTCCACTCAGTACCTGTAGTGATCTGGTTTGAATGGTCCATCAACTGGTACACCTATATATTTGGCTTGCTTGGGGGTAAGTTTAGTAAGCTTGACACCTAAGTGATCTAAATGAAGAGCAGCCACTTCCTCATCCAACTTTTTAGGTAGTGTGTGGACACCAATAGGATATGCATTATGTTTTGTCCATAACTCGATCTGCGCTAAGACCTGGTTAGTAAATGAATTGGACATAACAAAAGATGAATGACCTGTAGCACATCCTAAATTAACAAGTCTTCCAGCTGCAAGAACAATAATATGATTTCCATTTTCTAGCTCATAGCGATCTACATGTGGCTTAATGTTTACTTTCTTTGCATTTTTATCCAACCAAGCAACATCAACTTCACAGTCAAAATGGCCAATGTTACAAACTATTGCATCATCTTTCATTCTTAGAAAATGATCCTTGCAAATAATGTCTATATTTCCTGTTGTAGTCACAAATATTTGGCCTATTTCAGCAGCTTCTTCCATTGTTGTTACTTGGAAACCTTCCATAGCTGCTTGCAGTGCATTTATAGGATCTATTTCAGTAACAATAACCCTGCCCCCAAAACCTTTAAAAGCTTGAGCGCATCCCTTTCCAACATCTCCATAACCACCAACTACACATACTTTGCCTGCAATCATAATATCTGTGGCTCTTTTGATTCCATCTAACAATGATTCTCTGCATCCATACAAATTATCAAATTTGCTTTTAGTCACTGAATCGTTGACATTAATTGCCGGTACTTTCAAATGACCTTCACGAAACATTTTGTATAAATTATGTACACCTGTAGTTGTTTCTTCAGAAAGGCCTTTCACACCTTCTAAAAGATGTGGGTACTTTGTGTGTACCAAGTTGGTCAAATCACCTCCATCATCTAGAATCATGTTCAATGGCTGAAACAAAAAGTATATTCAATGAAGCAATTTATGAAAATAATTATGTAATTTGCTTTTTTTTTTTTTTTTTTTTTTTTTTTTTTTTTTTTTTTTTTTTTTTTTTATAGGATAAGGGTGACAAACGAGCACACAGTCCACCTGATGGTAAGTGGTTGCTGCGGCCCATAGACATCTACATCTATCCTCGTTTGCGAATCAAAATGCAGATGCGTTGTCACCCGTGAGGACTAAGATGGAATGCCTCATTTCCAGTAAAAAGGGCCTCCGGCCACCTGCACTCACCAAGCGAAACGCAGAGGTAAACCTCTACTTCACGCTGGTATTCTGTGAGGTCGTGGTACCACCCCGGTTCGAGCCGGCCCATCCGTGCGACAGCAAAAGCTGCCGCGTGGCTCTACCACTGTTAAAACTTAGTTTTTCTAACATCATTGTAGATATTAGAAATATTGTTACTTACTTTACCATCAGGGAAAATAAGTGTTTGTTCAATACACCATGTATACTCTTCTTCAGATTCACCTTTCCAGGCATAAATAGGAATCCCTCTAGCCACAAGTGCAGCTGCAGCCTCATCCTGGGTGCTGTATATATTGCTACTGGACCATTGAACCTGAAGAAATAAAAGATATACAATTTTTATTAATATAAAATTTTAAATAAACTAGCTGACATAGCTGATGTGATGATAGCTGACAGTGGTAGAGCCACGTGGCAGCTTTTGCTGTCGCACGGATGGGCCGGCTCGAACCGGGGTGGTACCACGACCTCACAGAATACTAGCGTGAAGTAGAGGTTTACCTCTGCGTTTCGCTTGGTGAGTGCAGGTGGCCGGAGGCCCTTTTTACTGGCAATGAGGCATTCCATCTTAGTCCTCACGGGTGACAACGCATCTGCATTTTGATTCGCAAACGAGGATAGATGTAGATGTCTATGGGCCGCAGAAACCACTTTCCATCAGGTGGACTGTGTGCTCATTTGTCATCCTTGTACTAATGTTTTTCTGCCATTTCCGGTAGGTGGCGCGATTAGTTTAAAAAAATTTATTATTTTTATAACAATATAATTTTTTTTAAATAATCTATATTATTTTTAAGAAATCTATAAATATTGTAAATATAACATTTATTAATAACTCCACTATGGCGCCAATTATTGTGTCTAAATATAGTGATTTTTTTTGCCTGGAGTAAAGAATTTGTTAATAATTTAACTACAGCGCCGCCACCCTATTGGATCCTAGCATAGCTATAAACCATCACCTCGACAAAAACACATATATTGTGTGTGAATATGAACACATTTGGATAAGTTGTTCAGAATTGATGTGATTGCTAATATACACATCAACAAATTAAAACAACAACATGTATGTGTTATAATAACATTACAAAGTAAAGTTACATCCTTTAAATTTTCCACACAGCAGGGCAAAGGCCTCCTTTTATTTCTGAAACGGTTTTAGGGCGAGGAAATGACATGGAGGTGAAGTATGTTAAATTTCATTCTATGGTAGTAGACTACCAAATGTTTTTTTGACCATCGAGCACATGATAAATCAGCACTTAAAACCGCATTCAACAATTTCATTGTTGCCAGTGGGAATCTAACCGGAACTGCTATCATACTTATGTATGTAATGTAACAACATTATGAAGTATAACAATAATAGTGTGTAATGAATAACACATAAATTGTCTTACATCAAACAATATCACACCTACAATGATAATTGTTTGCGAACACGTCACTCAAAATTGTAGGCGAGTATGTAGGACGAAAGGTTCATGAGCAGCCTTGTATTGGTAAGAGCAGTGATAGGCGATCACTACTAGTTGGAGTGACGGCTTGATGAAACATGATGGAAGTCAATGAATGCAGGTGGCTCAGCACTACTTTGTATATTTTTTTATATGCCTTTTGAAAATTTTATAAGAGAAGGTAAGGCCAATCTGTATATTATAGAAAAAGAATAATTTTTAATAAATTTGAATTACAAAAATACAGACAGTCATTTATGCTTTTACCACTGGTTTGGAAAAACCTCTGTCCTGGGAAGAACCAGCAAGAAACCCAGCAGAACTTTAAACATTAATTTACAATATGATTTATAACATAATTAAATATTTAGAAACAAAAAAAATTTTGCTTAGTGAAAATTTTAAACTTTTTAATAGATCCATATTTTTGGGACTTGCACATATTAAAAAAAGGACTTTTAAATAAAGAAATATTAGTAATACTACTAACATTACTAATATTCCCTTCAACAACTCCAGGTCAGCTTAAAATCCTAAAATGATTGTATTATAGGTGGTCCACAGTAAATCCACAATTTTTTAGTTCACAGTCTGTACCCTACCTTGAGGCTACTGTATTATTTAATTATGATAGCATGATTTGCTGTTTTATATTGAAACACAAATAAATGTCCCGGGTTTGGATGTCTGGTTGGTGTGCATTTTATGTACTTATACAAATTGATTGCACAATTCAGGAAAAAATACTATGTAAGGATAAATGGTGAAATGTTTTATTACATCTTATACTAGAAAGAGGGTAACTTTAAAGGTAATTTATGCTGTATAATAATTTTTCTTAGTAATTACTTTTTTACTCTATTCTGATATGACTAGTATACTTTTATAAGTACTCTCTTTTCAATCTTTTCATTGAAAGAAGTCTTCCCCTCCTATAACTTATTTAAATACAAGTACTATTCTATCTTTAAAACATCTTGCATCACTCATACTTTGGATCAAAGGTGAGAGATAAGACATGTAACCTCGAGGCAATTGTCAGAAGTAAGTGAGATAAGGAATGTTTTAAAGATGACTAAAAGGAAACAAATTGATATAGTTGAGTAATCTGTTACATCAGTATATAAATTGTTTTTATTTTTTATTGTGGAAAACTTCACTGATATTATTTGACAAATCTGTATAAATAACTTATCTCAAAATTGGTATAAATAATTTAGAATTATGAATGATTTACATTTTTTTCAAAAATTCTATTTCCTATTTATTAAATAAATATGAAAGTATTACCAACCTATTGCCATAAAATATTTATTAAATAGAAAAAATTCGACAAGATTTTGCAATAGGACTAAATTCGATGGTTATTATGTAAACCTATACTACTACTATATTATGGTCATAATGAAATTACTGAAGATATAAAACTTACTTCTGCTCCTAATTCAATCAGAGTTTCTATTAATACTGCAGTCTGTACAGTCATATGAAGACTGCCAGCTATTCGAGCTCCTTTAAGAATCTTGCCAGGTGCATATTTACGACGACAAGCCATAAGACCGGGCATTTCTTTTTCTGCCAGCATGATTTCATTGCGGCCCAACTCTGCTAAGCTCAGGTCAGCTGCAATACGAAAAGTATAAGAACATGAGAAATGAAAATGATTAAGAGTAATTGATACAAAAAGATTTACAACTAAATAATTAATTGTTACTTCTATTTTTTAAACAATATTGAATATTATGTCGTAATCTTTGTTATTGTTGGCATTGACGACACATGGGATTAAGATAACCTATATTATTGGAAATAACAATAACAGCAGGTAATTATACTTTATACTAGTAAATTTAAGAAAAATAACAATGAATTATTCAATTTACTTCGTACAGCGTGGAAGTTTATTTCAAATACAATAATTTGGTTTACCTATTTTGTACGGCGGCTTCATTTCGTGATTATATAAAATAATCTGTAAAAAATAAGTATTTTATTAAACATATACACAATGATTTAAAATTATAATTTAGTTGAAGTTTAATATTATATTTTATACAAATTTCGTACATCAAAATATCTAACCAAATCACGTTAGTTTTCTAATCGTAAACGCCGCCGCACAACCTTCACTCTTATCTATGATAGAAATTAGAAACTAGTAGAGATGGTAACTCAGGAAAG